TGAATCAAACTATTTTTGTTCATTGACATAAACAGGATTTCATAATAAAGACACCAAAGACTGTTGCAGTTGCTTCTTAAGTGTTGATTTCATAAAACAGTAGCTATGGAGCTTTATGGAGTTACATAGCTCAGGCAACCCAGCAATTAGTTGCTGAATGACTCACTGAAATGCTATTGTACTGGAGAAATGAACTTCTCTAACATGGTTATACTTTGTGACTGCTGACTAAAACTGTGTGGGAATGGTTAGGAACTGATACCACAGTGCCTTTATGTGATTGCTGCTCAAACTACATATCCTTTGTAATATGAATTAAACTATTTCGGAGAGGAGCAGTCTGTAGCCCGCAGCTGTCATGCATATGCAGCCTTGGAACTTTTGCCATCTTTTGATTGGATTTCAACAGACTTGAAATTGATTTCCCTCACGGAAATTGCATTTATCGTCTTTTCCTTTGCAATGGCTCTGCTTGATTTCATTGCTGAGTTGGCTGTGGAATCTCCAAGAGTGAGAATTCTGATGTGCATAATCCAATGTGGCTGCAGAGTTCATGGCCATTATGGATCTGACTCAACTTATTGAAGGATTAACATGCACAGGAGCTAAGGAGTGGGAAGCACAATGTTACAAGACTTCTCTTTTTTGAATGGGAAGTTCCAGTCATGGGCAGTGTTGATAGGCCATCCCAATCAGGTCCCTGATTTTCTGGGTATCTCAGGGATTGATACTCTTACCTTTCTGTTTAATAAGCTATTTAATACATAAAATGGTTAGGAGATGTCATCTTTTACCCATCAGGTACCATCAGTATTCTGATGATACTCAGCAGTATATTTCAATTCCTGGCCAACCAAATGATGCTGTCAAGTTTCTGGTCCAATACCTGCAGTTGTTCAGGACTGGATAAGACCAAGTGGCTTAGCTGCATTTTTTTTCCTGATACCAGTAACTTTGTCTCTGCAGTATTTTTTCCTAAGGCCTAGGTAGCAATGACTATCTTTCTAGATAGTAGCATACAACTAGGTTCCCCTTGGCTCCTGGTTCCTTTACTGTTGACAGTTGATCCTAAAAATTATATTATTATGTATGATCATTGTTACTTGTGTTAAGTTTATAGTATGTTGTATTATATTTCTGTTTCTGAGCTCCTAAGAGTCAGCATGATTGAAGCAACATTAAACCATCAGAAATTTTTTAAGAAACCAAATGTGATAGAAAATAAAGGGGATTTTCTTGGATGCTAAATTATCTTCAGAATGCAACAGTCAGAACCAGGCCAATATCACATTATAAATCTTGAAGCAATATCTTTCTACATTTATTATTATTAAGATTTAAGATTTAAGGATATATGATTTGCTTGTCTGCTTGTTTATTTGTTTGCTAGATTATAAAGAAGTAAGAACTCAATTCAATACACACTGGTTATTTATTTAGCATCAAGTTGAATATATGAGTTGGAATCATGCAACATGACTCCAATGCATTATGGTTTTCATTCATTAAGTGTTAGTGATCGGCAGGTTTTGGTGGGAGTATTTGATCTTTAAAGTCACACATATGAGTCCCTAGATTTCACATCCTGAGAAGTACAACTCCTGAATTGGAATACCTTGGATTTACTGACCAAAATATGCCAAAATTAACTAATATTATAGTTAAGTTTAACTATAATATGACAAGAGTGCTACCAAGACTAGTGAAGTAATCTGCCTCTGTCTTACTAAAATACATTATAATATGTGAAGGCCTTGATTGACCAAAGGCATAGAGAAGGGATGTCAAAGTCATGGCCCATGGGCTGGATGTGTCCCAAGCTGGTTACACCCATCCCGATTTAACGATGGGGAAAAAAGTTGTGATATGTCATATGATGACAACGTGCCATCACGAGTTTGACACCCTTGACGAAGAGGGTGATAAAGTTCAATACTGCATCAATGAGCATAGCTGAAGGCTACCAAGGCATAAATTAGTTAATGACATAGGTGTAGGAATAGTAAATGCTAAAGAGCATTAATTAACAAATACAATAAAATGTACTGTATCCACAAAACCAAGAGAAAGAGAAGGATAGAACGGTTCTAAATGATTTATAGAGCTAATGAATGCACAAAGGAAAGGAAGCTATAGTTTAATTATGAATGAAAAGGCAAACATATCTGTCATAAAGAATGGATTGGGGTCATCTAGTCCATAGTTTGGTGACAGTGGCATGTTATAGCCCAGTGAATATGGGCATAGAACTAGGGATGGGTTTGGAGGGGAAATGTGCAATATTATGATTATTTCTTGTTTTTTTTCCTTTCCCTTTGTACTTTCATTAATCAGTATTACAAAGTCAGAATCTTATGTTTAGCAGTAAATTGTAAAGTCCATCTTCTGGCTTGGGCTATATATTTAGATTTACATTTACTGAACCTTCCCCTCATTTTTTAGAGCAGGGGTGTTAAACTTGTGGTGCCACATTGTCATCACGTGACATATCATGACTTTTTTTCCCTTTGCTAAAATGGGGGTGGACGTAGTCAGCACTTGACGCATCCGGTCAGCGGGTTTGACACCCCTCATTCTTTAGGGCAAGGATTCAAACTCGTGGTACCATGTTGTCATCACATGACGTATCATGACTTTTTTCCCTTTGCCAAAATAGGGGTGGACGTAGTCAGCACTTGACGCATCCGGTCAGTGGGTTTGACACCCCTCATTCTTTAGAGGAGTGCTGAATGTAAAATGTAACCTTACTTGCTTCATAGTATTGGGCACCCCAGGAATGGAATTTGATAGACACAGATTTCTCTCTAAGTTCTTTATTACATCCTTTGCCTTTATGACTAAGAAAGGAAAGAAATAAAATTGCTTCATTTCCTTGTGGATCTTCACACTCCAAATAAGATGTCTGTTTTAGAGATCTACTGGGTAATTAAAAGGCAGAGTATATGGGGATTAAGTTTATGCTTTCAAAGGAATTCTGGCATATCTGCAATAACATTACAATAACAATAGCATAACATTAAGATCAGGCTGTTGCAGCAGATTGTGGCTTTCGCCACAAAGCTTAAGAAAAACAGGACATGAGACCACGAAGGTGCAAGAGAGACAGGTTTATTGATGCATCTAGTTCAGCGTGTTCACACACCAAAATCTGAACTGCTGGGCTCCACCCAGGACATTGGTTTTTATACCTTGATTCAAACTTGATCATTTGAAGGCTTTACTATAAGGCGTTTTCATACAAAAAGTAAAGTCCCTTATTAAAACAGAGAAGTATATTTTGGAAAAATACAAAAGAAGAAGTTAATAGGAAAGTTACAAAAAGAAAAGTTCCAACTTATTTAAAATAGTACAAACAGTTTTATGCAATTTTATCCTTGCACTATCTGACACCTACGGTTAGTTTCCTGTGCCCTTCCTTGTACAACATCTTGCCACACTGTTCCATTAAGATTTGTAACACTTATGAGGAAGTAAGAAATCAAAGTGCCATATTAAGTATGCAACATTAATTTATACTGTATAAGCTGGGGTCTCATACCCTTAGAAAGCATTGGGGGTATTTACCCGTTCTCCCCTTCCTGCCTCAAGACAACTGTATTTTATAAAAAGGGCAACTTTAATTTAACAGGGCACTTTGTTGAACCTCTGATTTATTATAAGATCATCAGCTGGAATCTCGTGGATGATAATGACTGTCTCTAATATTCTAACTAACAGTGTATACTGATGCATTCTTTTCATTATTTGGCTGCCACCTTGCATTTAATACAATTAAGCATTAGCTTCTTGAAGCTGAAAGATATCTAAACTGTGACATTACATTCTGAGAGTCAACAAATTGACAGACTCTAATAAGTAAGTTATAAAGCTATATATGCTTTCTCACGTTAGATGTCATGAAGTCAATTATCTAATGATTATATTGCCCTTGAAAATGCAGTTTACAAATTCATAGTCTACTCTCCATTCTCCCTTCATTCATTCTGTTGTTACTCATAACACTTTTTGATTGGTCTGTTCCTTTGCATTCAACTGGTTCATTAAAAATGGCTTTAAACACTAATTGCCCATGGTTGTTGTTCCTGCTGTTATTAGAAACATTCTTATTTGTTGTTATTGATCGGTTGATACTGAAAAGCAATATAGAAAATAAAAAATAGCAATGGCACTTAAACTTATATACCACTTCATAGTGCTTTTGCAGACCTCTCTAAATAACAGGAAAATCAGTTAAAATGGCTGAAATCTATAGTGCAGTGTCTCCTTATTGTATAATTTGTACAGGAAATGTGGGTAGAGACTTTGCAATACTTTGATTTGAATTCAGAAACACCAAATGCTTGAATTATTCAATGTACAGCACATAAATCTTATATCCGAGGTTGAATTCTTGCTTATGAGTTGTACAAAAATAAGCATAAAAATGAAAGGGAAAATGACCTGAAAGGAGCCAAGGTGGTGCAGTGGTTAGGGTGCAGTACTGCAGGCCACTTCAGCTGACTGTTATCTGCAGTTCAGTGGTTCTAATCTCACTGGCTCAAGGTTGACTCAGCCTTCCATCCTTCCGAGGTGGGTGAAATGAGGACCCAGACTGTGGGGGCGATATGCTGACTCTGTAAACCGCTTAGAGAGGCCTGAAAGCCCTATGAAGCCCTATGAAGCGGTATATAAGTCTAACTGCTATTGCTATTGCTAATTAAATGGGCACAGATGATTAAATGTCCATCTATTAACTTGTACAGAGAAACACTAAAGAAGAAATGCAAACTAAATACTATAATAGCACAGAAGACAGAATTCACATCAACATATTTACAAATATGTTACGAATATAGAAATATTGGGAGAATGGTGAAAGATTTGGTAAGATGTTGGCTAATTGTTTAAAGCAAAAGAAAGATAGAGCAATGGTTTCAATTATTAAAAGTGAAGAAAGGAAGGAAAGAAAGAAAGAAAATGAATGAATGAATATTCATAAACTCTGTCTCCTTCCTTCCCAGGGCACAGTCTTGCAAAGGTGGCTCGTGCACAGACATTTCCCAGCTACACCTCAGAACAAGGTGAGGAGCATGAGCCACGCCTGTCCCTTTCCAGCAGCTATGGATTTAGCTACAGCTCGGACCTTGTGCAATGACACACATCTGGTGTTTGAACAAAGAAACACTCTAATGTGGAACCTACCTGCAGGCCCTGGAAGCCATTGATCTTTCTTTGGGTATCCAGAGAAGACAGTTGGTAGTGAAAACCGAGAAGTCTCCCGCCTGATGACAGTGGAAGTGAAAACTTGGATCACTGCTTCCTTGAGGCAGAAGTCTAAGTCTTTTATTTATTTAAATTTTATAGTTGTTTTTGTCCATGTTTTTTTAAAAGAAGAATTCCCTTGAAAATCATGGATGTATGCAGTCGATGTTTCTGCATAACCACAAACATTATGTGCTCTAAGAGGGTGGATGTCATGTTTGCAATATTAGGCTTTTGATCAACTCTGCCATCAGATCTGCTTGTCCATGACAGTAACCACTTTTATCTCCAAGGCATCAGCCTGGCTCATTCTTACATGTTACAAAACTTCAAAGGGTTGGAAGGCTTCCTTCCGATAATTATGCACATTTTAGTCCCATTAACTTCCATGGGATGTATGCATGTCTATCTTTAGGACAATAGCCTAAAGTTTCACTTGTGAGAAGAAGCCAGTGACTCTTAATCAGATTCTCATTATTCAAATTAATACCCAAGATAGATAATAGATAGATACTGTCAATGGGATGGCATGGTGATGCTTAGTAGCCTTTCAGAAAATAGATTGTGTCGTGTTATTAAGAGGTAATTTGCCTAGAATATTTGCCACACTGAATTTGTATGCCCAGATTCGCTCTTATCTATGTGCATTCTGAACCTAATAATCCACAGCTTTCTACTGGGAACAGTGGTTATAGATGTCAAGGAAGACCGTGTTTACAATGCACTTGTCAAAGTCTTCCTTTTGTAGATAATTTTTGGATAATTGAATTTGTAGTCAGTATACTTTTAACCCTGTATACTGTGCAGGTAAGAATTGACATCACATGACTTAATGGCAGCCCAACATTCCATAGTTTTACACAGCAAGATGCCTGGCAGGTAGAATAATTTCAAGAGCAGTTGTTTTTACGGAGGTCTTTTAGGCAACAAAATGGATTTTCTCTCTTCCTTATACAGCATGGGTGTCAAACTTGTGGCATCATGTTGCTGTCACGTGACATATCACAACATTTTCCCCTTTGCGGAGCTGGGTGGGCGTACATGATCCATGTGGCCCGTGGGCCGCCAGTTTGACATCCCTGTTCTACAGCATTCTTTTTGTGGTGGATTCTGTGTACTAATATCTTACTCAGTTTTACCCTGGTCATATGTACAGATCCATTTTGCACTTACATTTCATTATAGGTAGTCCTCACTTAACAACCACTGTTGGGAAAAGCAAGTCTATTACTAACTGATGCCACCTTTAAGCGAAGCATGTGTGACTGCAACTTGCAATTTCCTGCTAGCTTTTCCATTGACTCTGCTTGTCGGCTGTGAAGTGAACAAATAGCAGTACACAATGATCGTAGGAATGCTGTAACAGTCACAAGCATGTGGCAAGTGTGTGTGTGGTCATAAGGTTATTTGTTCAGTGCTGTTACAACTTTGAATGGTCATTAAACAGAGCACTTGTTAAGTGAGGCTTATCTGTAAACAATGTCTTGTTAGTCCTTCCTACAGTCAATTGCATGGAACTGGATTGTTTCAAACTGTAGAGTCTTTTATTGGCATATTTTGCCTGTTTCAGATTTTTCCAACAACTATATAAAATGAACAGTGATAGCCATGAGTAGAAGAGGTGAAACTATTGAAGATCTGAATAAGTTTTTCAGAACAATATTTTCGAAATCCCACCTGGGTCGTGGTTATACTAATTTGTCAGATTTAACTCCATTTATTCAGTCTTTTTCATCAATACAATATCATTTGTTACCACCTCTGTCACCCATCATTTGTTACATTGAATATTATTCCATACCAAAATCAAAATCTTGCAAACTGAGGATGTCAACATTGAAAACATTATCATTGATTATCTTTAAGCACTAAAGAAAAGGAACGCAAAAATGGTCTTGTGCAGTTAATCTCTAAAGCAAATCTGGCCGTTTGGAATGCAAACTACTTAGAGTGGCATTTTTAACTACTTTGAATTGAATTTAGAAACAAACTAAATTAGATCAAAGAAATATTGAAATTTGAAACCCATGCTTCATATAGTAATCCACGTGGCCAAAAGAACCTGGCAATGTTATTCTGCATTCCATACAATGTTTGAATGTCTGGTATCACCCTCCATGGTAAAAGAGGTCCTTTCTTCATTTTTGCCTATAGTCCAATTCTAAACAGATTAAAATAAAATAACAGTCACAGTGGTGGTAAATGCTCATGTGTAATTTATCTAAGATATCAACCTTGAAGTCATTTCCATGGTAGAACAAGGCCAGAAGAACTAAAATAAAGCTTTGTGTTAGAGCACATCCAACATATGGATCTTCTCCCCCACAGGCATATACTCAAGAATTTTATTTTTGAGAAGGCCTGGATTTTTGCTAAATGTTGTGACTTGCAAATAAATTGCACAGAAAGAAATCAAATAGGGTCCCCGCCCATGTATGAGATGAAATAGCACTCATGCTGGCCATAAAATGAGATATATAAGAAATCAGTTGAGATCAGTTGAAAGCAAAAGGAGATTTTCCCATCCAGTATCTTTCAGCCTTCATAAATGTTGTCAAAACAAACGTATAGTAAGCAATCATCAGAAATTATTTATTGCCAGAAGACTGCTCCATCGTTGAAGTTTCTGCTTTTCATTGTTTTGTCAAACCAGCACAGAACATGTTGAAAGGAAGAGAACCGAGTTTCCCATTCCGCTAAAAGATGAAGTTTTATTTACCACAGTTGGAGGGAAAGAATTTTACTTTTATTCCTTTTGTAAACAATGTGAAGGAAATATCTACTTCAATTAAACATTTATTAATACATTACAGTGGAAGATTTTTCTTACCCAAGCTTTTCTTGCAGTCTAATCCCTTGCAGGCTTATACACCTCAGTGAAGAGCTGCTGAATGAAACTAGTGTGTGATCTGATGAAATTAATCACTCTTCCCTCCATGCCAGCATCTCTTCCCCCTTATTTTCTTTTATCTTGCTCACCATGTTTCCACTAACTAGAGAGCGACTTCCTCTGCAGGAGAATGATAAGCTACCTACTACAACAATGCAAAATTACTGTTCCTGGTTGTGCTAACATGCAAGCATTCTCTTGCTGTAGCTCTGGTCATCCATTTTGACAATTTCAATATGAAATCACACTCTTCTGTATTAAGTAGGGTATTAGTCAATGTCACTATATATAAATTATATTCATCCAAACAAGTTTTCCTTGAACTTAAAAGGGGGGGAAATACACAGAATTATTTCCACTGAATGATTTCAAAATGACTAAAAATGATCTCATGTCCCAAACCAGAATTGCCTCTAGATACGTTTTTGAAATAATCCATACTACTGTTCTTTATTTTCCCATGAGAAAATAACACTCAGAAAAGACTCCTATATTCCCAGTACATTATTCTGTGAGGTTTCATTGTCAGAACCTGCTTTCATTTACCCCATTACCCATCCTTCTCAGAATCGCTAGGATGGTGAACTTCAGCTAGAGTCCAACAAAGAATAATTCAACAGGCAGAGAACTACAGTATACAAATACTATGAATGCAATTTTTTTTTCAGTAAAGTGTCTTTCATGTATTAATTCCTAACCTTCCCAGCTAGCATTCCTATATTGCTTAAGGGCTGCAGTTCTAACACTCCTATACAATGCCAATTAAGGAAGAACAACCTAGGGCAAGCTATTCACAAACCCCTGAATGTCTGCTTGATAGTAATAGCCCTTCGAGTAATGTCATAATTTACTTGTTCATAGCATCTCCTGCGAGAGCAACATTTCACAAAATGTACAATTTCTAGAAAATCTACAGGGATGGCCATACTTTGAAATAACCTTAAATGAGCTAAATTGTTAAAAGGAAACAATTATGTGTACTTGGATCTAATCAAAGGAGAGGGGTATCCAGATGAGTAAGGCAAAGCAATGGCTCAAATTAAAGAATGGGTTTAGTAGAGCGTACAGCCTTGCATGTCTAAATGGTCTTGCCGTTTCCCATTCACCCAAGGGAAACAAGCTTTTCCACTGCACAGTTTCCTACTTAATAGGCAGGTAGATCTATTGACTGAGGACCCTGTTAGAATTCTTTGTACTTGACCTGCAAGACTATTCTAATTCAAGAAGAAGAATGCTCTCAAGATTAATTTGGTTGTACATTTCTTTTCAAAGAATTCTTAAAGACCCCAGTGGGGTTCTGAGACAGGATAGTCTTGGTAGAGAACATTTTTCCCCATTTCATGTACATGAATTAAATTACAGGTAATCCTCGACTTACAACCATTCATTTAGTAATCAAAGTTACAGTGGCACTGGGAAAAAGGGACTTCCGACCATTAAAGCATCCCCATGGTCATTGAATCAAAATTTGAGTGCTTAGTAACTGGCAAATATTTGTGACAATTGCACTTTTTTGAGGTCAGGTAATCACCATTTGACACCTTCCCAGCTGGCGGCTGACAAGCAAAGACAATGGGGAAAGCCAGATGACCACAGGATTCACTTAAGAACTGCAGTGATTCACTTAGCAACTGTGGCAAAAAGTTGTAAAATGAGATGCAATTCACTTAACTGTCTTGCTTAGCAATAGCAGTTGTGGGATCAATTGTAGTCATAAGTCAAGGACCACCTGTATACTGCACCATATGTGAAGTGCATCTCTGCATGGCTGATTTAGTGGTTTCACAGAATGGCGAGTTCACACAGCATTCTGTAGTGACCACCGAAGCCAAATGCTGATCAAACCAAAACATAAAAAATGAAAGGTCTATAAAATGGAATCTAAACACTGAAATTAACAACGGTCATTTTATGTCATCCCGAAGTTGTAAATCTGAGTTACTGAAAGAAATGGATTGCTTTGCACCAATATTCCATCATCATTCTGATAGAAATGGAAGAGAAGGTTTTGGTCTCCATCTAAATTAGATCCCCTATCAGAAGAATTTTATGGCACCTGTAAGATATGCCTTGATCTCTACATTTTTGTCAGTGACTACAGGCATTTTAGAATGATTGTTTATTCACAATTAATTGGTCCAGTGTAGTAATTTAGTTTTTGGTTTTCAATGATGCTGTGAAGTTTGAATACTGGAATCAAGTAGGATTAACACGACCTGCCTTCCTACCTCTTTACTCAGTTTTTGCTATTATTTGATACAGAGCGAACCTAGTTGTCATCCACGTTTCCCATCTTGTTTCCCAGATGGAGTTCTCAAAATAACGATGAATACTAAGATCATCAATCAACCTTTACTTTCTCCTTTCCCATGTTGATCTGCTTTTCAACCATTTCATTTTCCCCGGAGAAGCTAAACTAAGACTCTCACACTTGAAAATTCACAATGTAAAATGTCAATAAAGTTAAATTATTTTGGAGGAAGGGAAAATTATGAGCCATATACAGTATATTTCTCTAAGATGTTGTTGATTCTTTAACAGAAGCTTCTGCCACCGTGGGTGAATGAAAGTTGTTTTAAGGGTATTTAGGGCAGAAGCAGGTTTTGTGTGGCTTAAAATGGCATTCAGCTACTGTTCACTGATGTGCTATCTTGGCAGAATGATACATTTACTGTTGTTTCTTGTTCTATTAATGGAAAGAGTTAAATACACTGCTCTTCTGCTCTGTGTGATGTGATGATCCAGTTTTCCCTGTGAACCAAACCATCTATGAAATTTGAATTAAATCAGATTAAACAAGTACCAAGATGTAGTGTGTAATTTGCCCTCTCCACAAAGCTCAAAATTTTGGAACAAAAGCCATCCACCAAACAAAATAGAACTACATTAGGCAAAGAATGGTCATAGGTTGGTAAGAATCCAATTCTTAATGTGCCCAACAGAGCACGGGTTGGAAAAGGCTGTATATGAAGAAGTGTCTGTATTGCTGTGTCACTATGAAGTTCTGAAAGGCCGGACAAGAAATTCTGAGAATTCTTACAATGTCATGTCACAATTATTTATATTATTTATATTATTCATATTGAGCATAGTGCATTTGTGACCACTCAAAATATCTGCTGTGATCCCAATAGTAACAGCACTTAGACTTTTATACCGCTTCACAGTGCTTTACAACCCTCTCTAAGCGGTTTACAGATTCAGCATATTGCCCCCAACAATCTGTGTCCTCATTTTACCCACCTCCAAATGATGGAAGGCTGAATCAACCTTGAACCTATCAGATTTGAACTGCCGAACTGCAGCTAGCAGTCAGCTGAAATAGCCTGCAGTACTGCACTCTAACCACTGCGCCACCTTGGCTCCAACGTGACTGCAAACTAATTTTACTGTACTAGCGGACAAAATCTTGAATAATATGGGACCCTAATCATTTTTAATTTTAATTCCATTAAATTAACTTTTCTTGGGGGCCTTCCCTTCCCTTCAGAGCACAGGACTCAGACATGTTGCATGACACTGGTTAAATGAAAATGTCCAGGATTAGACCAAATATTTATCCAGGCATTGTCTACACTAACTTCACAAGACCAAATCAGCTATGGCCCTGCAGCTTCCAGAATTGCGTGCAATCCCTTTTTGATCTAGGGAACGTCCTCCGTTCATGCCAAGAACATAACCAGTAATGACAGTGCCTAGAAGTGGTAATTTATTTTCTCAGGTAGAAAGAAACTATTCTGAATCTTGCTTTGTATCTGATGTGATCTTAGTGATATTGTAATAGAGTGTGTGCTTGCACATACATGCATTGGTACATACCATATTAGCCCTTCTGGCTCCCCCAGTGAGAATGTCCTAATCCATAATCCATACATTTACGCCATCTCAAAATCCTGGGCAAAGCCTGATACTACCACACTTTTCCAGAGAAGAAATCAGTTTTAGCCTTTGTAAATTCATTTTTGGAGTTACCAGAGTGGCTGGAATGCAAGGAACGATAAATTCCGTGTCAGCATGAGACTACTGATTCCACAGAAGATACAGGTAATTTGTTATGTAGATTAAGTTTAGAGCTAATTGAGAATTGTAGACAATGGGAGAAATCTTGCAGACTTTAATCTTGTCAGCAGGAATATGCATGCATAATAAAGGGGGGAGTGTGTGTGTGTCTGTGTATCTTATACCAAGAATATAAAGACACAAGATAAATCCAGAATGTATTTTTGTTTAAAGAATCTAATGTACATCTATCTCTATATTTCCCAAAAGGTTAGTTCCTTCTTATTCTCCAGATCTCTTTTGGTTGGGATGCCAATCCAAGAAGAAAAGTCATCTCGGGGTAGAACATCAAAAACCAACACAAATTGGAGGTTTCCCCATCTTCTTTTAAGGCCCAACTGAAAGGGAAACTTTTGCCTGACTATCTAGAATGACTGGATTGTATTTTTATTGATTAACTTTGTCATTTGCCCTCATAAATCTTTGGAGATGAGATTTCTCTTCCTTCCCGAGATACAGACTTCAACCATGGTTCTCACATAACATTATCATGTTGACAGATCTGCTGAATCAAAGTTACCATATATTTGACAGCACCCCTATTTGAAAGCTCCCTTTGTACAAAAGTAAGTTTTTGTTTCAGTGTTAGGCTATGAATGAGAAAACAAAATTACACCATGTTAAAGTAATAGCCAAATGATCTTACATAGAATCATTTATTAATATATAAGTTAAAACAAAAATATTCACAAATAGTTGCATCATCACTGCATGAATTTCTTTTAACTAAATTGCTTGTTTGTATACCTACTGACTCTAACCAAGTTTTGCAGATATGTACACCAGGAATACTGCACAAACTATGACAAACTTCTATCCATTCTGGGTTGCCTTCTGAGTGAATTATAGAAAATAATTATGAGAACTGCACTTTGCAAATGGCAGAGATTTGTAAATGGCATTTTACCAGTTAGGGTTAGGAAAGGAGGAAAAGCATTATATTTAGACTCAAGAAGGCCACTATCTCCCGCTTGAGCAGTGGGTTGGACTAGAAGACCTCTGAAGTCCCTTCCAGCTCTATTGTTTTATATTCTCTGAAAACATATCCTATGTCTTGAGCATACTTCGGAAGGGCTGGGTCCTGCCAGTTCTGTTTAGCACAGTAGGTTTTCATTCTGTCTCATATACAAAAACAGTTCAGATATACCACTACAAATCAATGCATCTGAGAAGAAAAAAATCTATTTTTTTTATTTCCTGATTTATTAGGTAAAAACAAAACCATTGGCTATCTTGCTCTATTCTGATTCTAATCCCAGAGATCAACAGGATGAGTTGAGGTAGTTCATTGATATAAAAGGCAGTAAGTTCACTTTTTCATAACCTGTTCCCAGTTAGCATAGATTGGATCCTCTGTTGCAGTAGGATTTTGACTTGAATTTGCTGAGCGCTGGCCAGCCCAGTTTTTGTACTGATGCTGGGACTATAAAAGAAAGAAGAAGAAGACAGTAATGGGAAAAAATAGTGAAAAAAGACTGTCCTTCAAACACAAATGCTCACAACGGAGGCAAACTTTCCATGTTGCACTTTTAAGAGTTAGGATCAAAACATTAATACACATGCACATTATGTTATTGCAGATGTGGTAGGCATTAAAGAAAATTAGTTGAGGTATAGACTAATTCACATCTACTGCTAAACCGTAATTTGTGTAATTGAGGTTTATATAATCCATAATTAGCTGAGTTAACACAACATATTAAACCAAGACCAAATCAATCACGTGATGTAACTTGATGCATTACCCCAGCTGAATAATTTCTAAGAATTATCCAACCTTCCAATCCACACCACATACTCAAATAAAGAGTATTATTTAGAAAAAAACTGTAGAACTCCCTGTGTTCAATCTCAGAAGAGTCACAGAGCAGCATCACAACAAATTAAAAGTTGACTTAACCGTAATTCTTATTGTTGGAGGAAATTTTTAAAAGGCTTAAAATGCTATAGCTTGCACATATTCCCAGTACATACCAGATCTTGTACCTGCCTATGTTACAAATTAAATAAATGTATTTTGGAATTAAAATGGCTACAAATGTCATGACATTTCAGCAGTCTCATTCCAGAGCTTTCTGCATGAGATTTATGGTGAATTTTAAAAATGTGGTTTGCCTAGACAAGCAATCACACAATTGTGGAGGTATTCCACAATGCTGGTGATCCATAGCCTGTATGCTCATTCAAATATGTTATTAGCAAATATATATATATGCCTACAGGCACTTAACAATAGCAATTGGGACGGAGATTTCAGTCACAAAAACAACTCGGTAGAGTCATAAAATGTGATATCCCATGACTGTGCTACCTAGAAATGGCAGTACCAGCAATTCCTGGTTGCTGTTGTTAAGCAAATCAATGCAGGTCACTAAGCAAAGATCTCATGTGATCATGCCTTTGATTTCCTTCTGGCTTCCCCATTCATTTTATTTGGAGGAAGCCAGCAGGGAAGGTCACAAATCATGATCATGGGAAGCACTGTGATGGTAAGAAATGTGGGTCAGTTACCATGTTCCTATTCCCTGTCTTCCCAAAGATAAGGGCTTACTCAAAAAAGTAAGCCCTCACATGTTTTACATGTATGCCTAATATAAGCACTACCCCCAAAATAAGCCCTATTTAAGAGGCTGTGCAGCCGCCTGCTCACCCATTTTTCTGGTTTCTCCCAGTGCTGCGGCCACGAGGCGGGGTGATGGTGGAGCTGCCCCATGCTCCCTGCACCTGCTTAACTCAGGGCCCCGCTGCCTGACCATCCACACCCTAATACCTGCCTTGCAGCGGCAGCACCAGCATCCATGTGCAGCAGGAGCTCATGTGGCTGCCAGTTCACTTTGTCTGTTTGCTCATGGCCAAAATGGAACAGGAGGCCAAGCAGTGAGTTGGTGCCATGGTTGCGAGGTGAAGAAGGTATTGGTGCATGGATGTCCTGGCTGTGGGGGCCCTGAAGTAAACCAGTGTGGGGGCATGGGAGACAGCTTCATCCCCTCTGCCTTGTGGCAGCAGACTGGCACACTACGTAGCCCCCTGCCATGCCACGAGCAAGCAGAAGAAGTGGACCTCCTGTTCATAGAAAAAGAAATAAGACACACCAAAAATAAGCCCTCATGCTTATTTTGGGGCCCAAAAGAAAATAAGACCCAATCTTATTTTCAGGGAGACACGGGTAGTGATGAATGTGACTACAGGAATGTTGCAATGGCTGCAACTTCAAGGACCAGTTGCTGAACGACGGTTGTTCAGTGAGGACTATCTGTCTAAATAAACCATATGTCTCTTCCTGCTTCTTTGAAATGCAACATCTTCTATGAAAATGCTGTCAAACATGCTATTGGAAATATTCTTTCAAATGACTTAATCTCATCAAGCCACCCTTCTACTGCCTGCGTCCTGCATTATCATTGCTGTGCCAGTGCATGGAAATCATCCAACTTAATATTTTTTTTGCTTCAAGAATGGAAGAAAGATTCCGTTGCAACTGATTCTTCTATTTTTTTTCCCTCCGTAGAAAAGGAACAAAGAAAGCTAAACAAAGAAAGCCAAATCCTCAGCCTTTCAGGCTGGTAGAGTTGTGAAACTACCAAGCTGGCAAACCATGAAAATCTGAATATTAGTTACCTAATAGGAATAAAACAGAATCAGCTCAGCTAATGGCTATTATGGGGAAACAAGATAATTCTGAATAGAATATATGATGTTCTTGTATGACTTATAGATTCTCAGTTATAATGCCATTCTAGAAATAAGTAAATAAAGACTTTGTGCTTTGTGAGCATCTTATGTAAATTGTCCAGAAGCAGTTTGAAGAGTGTCAGAGTTTCGCCAAGGCAATTGTTTGTTTTACAAAGTCTTATCCTAAGACCACAAGAACAACTGTGCTGGACCAGGCCAAGGCCCACCTTGGTCCATGATGTCATCCAGATACTTCTGATTGTCAGGAGTAGAAATTGAAAACATATCCACTCTTGCCATTGTTTCCTGCAACAAGTATCTCTAGACATGCTTCCCCCAATGAGATACTAATTGAACCCAAAATGCACAGCTACTTTTCTGACACAAAAATCTATCCTAAGTTGGATACCCCTGTGAAGTCCCTCTTTATCCACACACCTGATGTAATAGAATGGACTAATGGAATTCTCTGAATCTCAGAAAGAAAAGGGATGTTTACTAAATGTGATATATAAGGACCACATGAACATTTCAACCTTACCCCTTTAGCAAAGTCATCTTTTCAGAAGACCGTGGGAAAAAAACATCAAGAGAACCTTGCCTTAATGTAATCAGTAATGTGTACCGATCTAATCCATATACTTATCTAACCCATTTTTCCTTCATTAACACTGATTAATAAGACACTCCCTTAGTCATGTACTACTGTTGGAATTTTGTCATTGTAACTGATACGATTATTAAAAATACTGTTTCTGTATGGTTTGGATCCTCTGACCCCATGAGAGTATTGATTTTTTTTAAATCCACCAATAAAACAATTTGCCATTTGCACGTACCTGTCTACAAGTATCTTTGTAGTCTCTCATCTTCTTAATTCTTTTTCTCTTTTTGGTGACACAAAAACTAAATGAACAAAAATAATTTGGTGATTGTTAACTATTAATTCTTTTTATCATGATTAAAACTTAAATTATTTTAAATTGCACAACTAAATCAGGATGTGCAGCTGAATAAAATGTTATGCAAATCAATTTAACTGAAATATGTGGCACAGTAGTTTCCCTCCCATCAAGAATGTCATACTTTCCTACAAAGATTCTTCTTATTTAAAAAAAAACCTGGAAATTTTATATGGACTTTTTGGTGAAGTAAGAAAACACTTAATTGATGATTTGGGGATTCAAGGATTAAAAACAGATGACGAGAATGAGGAAAATATTGAGAGGACAATTACTTGACAGAGAGGGAAAGCATGGTTTTATTATTTCTTTTCTCTTTATCTTATTTTCTATCTCCTTTTGTTTGGTTTGGTTTGTATTTTTTATTATATTGAAACATTCTAATAAAAATATACAAGAACCATTTTAGACTCTTAGTGATATTCAGAATGAGATTCGGAAAGAGATAAGCCTGGAACAAAAACCACATTTTTATGTGTTTGCAAAGGTCCATTAACTACCTTGTAATTGAACATTTTCAACCAATTGCTACAGACTGAGGCATGAAAAAACTCTTTTCCTTGGCAGAAATCAGCAAGATAGGTTCCCCTTAATGCTTCCATGCCAACTGTAACAACTTGCAGCAAAGACCACATAGTTAACCCTCTCTCCTTGTATGAAGATCAGCACAACATTAACTTGATAAAGCTACAGAAAAAGCTTTAGATATCATGACAGCATACAAATTTTGGGAACATAGTAAACTGGATGCATTCTGCTATAGTATCGAATCATATCTTACCTTCTGTATATAAGTATGATCAGAATGATCAGGATTAAAAAGGCACCGCTTCCAATAAAAATTATATGCAGCTTAGTAAATAAAGGTTCTAAAAAGGAAATACGGTAAATATAATCAATAAGATGAAATGTTGATTTTCTGAACAATGAATCATCAGAAGACACTTCAAATAACTTATACTATGCATATGGAAGTATTAAATATATGAGAAGAAATGAGAAGGACAAGAAGACCATAGTAGAGTGCATGGAATCCAGAAAAATTACTTCTCTTCTGAGATTGTTGTAATTATCTCATTGTAATTGTAATCAATTTAGAAAGTCAAGTTAATCCACATTAGCTGACTTTATTTTGAGCATAAATGGTATCATGTTTGCCTCCACGTAGTGCTTATAGAAGACATTCCATGAATCAGTTTCTGTATATGAATTATAAGTTGTTGTTAGTTGCGAAGTCATGTCCAACCCATCATGACCCCATGGACAGTGTTCCTCAAGGCCTTCCTGTCCTCTCCCATCCTCTGGAGTCCATTTAAGCTCATGCCTACTTCTTCGGTGACTCCATGCAGCCACCTCATTCTCTGTCGTCCCTTTTTCTTTTGCCCTCAATCTTTCCCAGCATTCTTCTCCAGTGAGTCCTTCCTTCTATTAGGTTGCCAAAGTATTTAGGTTTCATCTTCAGGATCTGGCATTCTAAAGAGCAGTCAGGGTTGATCTCCCCTAGAACTGACCAACCGGTCAACTGATCACCTTGCAGTCCAAGGGATCCACAGGAGTCTAATTCGGCACCATAGTTCAAAAGCCTCAATTCTTTGGCATTCAGTGTTTCTTATGGTCCAACTTTCACAGCCATACATTGCAACTGGGAAAACCATAGCCTTGACTATACGCACTTTTGTGGGCAAAGAATTCTAAGTACAAAGAGAAATAATTTGTTGGCATCCAATACAATGAAAAGATTAAAACTGCATTGTATTTTGTTGATAAGGAATCATTATATGCTTCTATAGGCAGCTCCTGGCACATGCTCCTATTAGGTAATTGGATTTGATAAACCTAGACCAAAGTTTTGTCAATCTTGGCAACTTTAAGAAGCCTTGGCTGGGGAATTCTGCGATTGAAGTCTACACATCTTAAAGTTGTCAAGTTAAGAAGCACTGTCATAGACCATTAGAGGTCAGCAGAGCTGTGGAAGCTTGTGGCTCTCTAAATGTAACTTCAGGTTGCTCCCTGTAGTGCTAAGAGAGTATGGGCCATTGGAAGGAATTCTGTACAATCATCAGTTCCTTTTCCCCACCTTACAATATGAAGTTACCATGAGTGACAGTTTATCAATCACAGATAGCTTTCAAAACATGTTCTTTAAGTTTTATTTCAAGAGGCATTAAGAGGGATGGGGACTTTGCTTCCAACACTGTATCAAGGACTTTCACAAATAAGAAACCTTCCAAGATAGTTATCTGAGAATCGGATATTATGAATGTTCCATTTTTGTATTGTTAGCGAATAGTAAAATTTCTGCTTTACTATGTTAAGACAGGCTTTAGATACTATCGCATAATAAGAACTCCTAGAGAATCTATGACACTTTTAAAAGGATTAGTTTCTTTAAATAAAAAAAACAGAAAGCCTATGTGAAGGTAGTCTTTATGTTATATTCCATATAAATTCAAATCTCAAAGGCTGAGGAAGATAACAATTGTCTTGAAGAACCTTATCAAACTGATCTTCTAAAAAGACCAGGTAAAGCTGATTATTAACTTTCTATGCTACTGTCTGAGGCATAAAACTGAAAGACTGTGTTTCCAGCCTATTTCTCAAAGCTATGCTTGGGAATAAAGCATGTCACTGATGTGTGACTTCAAAAGCTGAAAGAGCCAACACACTCTGTTGGAATACTTCTCAGCCTATGGAAATGTGATTTAATGGAGTTATAACTATAATCAGATGGGAATTGCTGCTTATAAAATCCTATAATAGGTTATATTTCCCGATCTGTTTTTGAGACTATATTTGCTGCAATGAATGAGTCTCAAAAATAATAAAGTACTGATTACCTGTGTTTTGCAAATCTAATAGCAATAGCAAAAGCACTTATACACTTCACAGTGCTTTACAGCCATCTCTAAGTGGTTTACAGAGTCAGCATATTTTCCCCCAACAATCTGGGTCCTCATTTTACACACACATCCCTCAGAAGGTTGGAAGTCTCAGTCAACCTTAACCAGGTGAGATTCGAACTGCCAAAGTGCAGACAGCCGGCAGTCAGCAGAAGTAGCCTGCAGGACTGCATTCTAATCTCTGTGCCACCACGGTTCTTGTTAAGTCTACCACAACTAAACAATGTCCTTCACTTAATCTAGGCCAGTATTGGTGAACCTTTTCAGCACCAAGTGCCAAAACGGGAGGGTGCCTGAGCGCCTGCACACATGCCGGAAATCAGAACAGCAGCCACCTGGTGCGCATGGACATGCTGGGAAAATGATCTTCTGGTGCTCCCGCATGCATGAAGACCAGCTGGCTGATGCACCAGAACCCGGAAGAGCAATTGGTGACAGCTCACATGCCCGGAGTGATGGCTCTGTGTACCGCTTCTGGCACGCGTGCCATATGTTTGCCATCACAGATCTAGGCAGAAGAATCTACAACAATGTCTCTTAACCTTGGTAGCTTTGAGATGCATGGATCTAAAACCAAGGTTGAGGTGTCCTGATCCACAGAATCATTTCAGAAGAATGAAGATAGGATGAAGATAGAATGTGCATTTTATTAGTGGTTCTGGCCCTAAGTGTCCCCTTCAAAAATGCAACAAATCTTAGACAAATTTAAGTGCTATTGGGGACTTCAGATTCCAGCCCCCTCTTGTCTTATTCCATGACCTCCCTGCCTAAAACTGTACAGTCCAGGGTTTTCAAATGACCTTCCAAGATAGGGATAACTTTGAGATTGGTCCAGGTGCTAATTAATTAAAAAGCACTTTGTTAAGCTGGATGACATCTTTTCTGTCACACCTCCAGTTTTCAAAGCACTTCTTCAGAATTGGCATGGAGGAAGAAGATTGGCTGACTGATCACCTGGCCTGAATTCACAAGGTTAGGTCTGGATAGTACCTAACCCTATGTATGGTATCTTCTTCAGAGTCCTTCATACCCTTAACCCTTCAATCATTACAGAGAGTTCGCTTAAGTTCAGCAGTCAATTGGAATTTATCAAAGTATCTTCACCAGTGTTCTGGAGCATCCATGATTTGGAATGAAGACATGGTATACAAAAAAATGGTTTCAACCTTCCCCACAACCAAACTCTGCAAACAAAATGGTCAGTTTTGACCCAAAGCCAATAAGAAAGTTGCAAACACAATACAACTTGGACTGCATATCAGGAGCATTCAGAAATCTGCCAGCTCTCTGTTATTTGGCTAATAAGAGCTGATGAGGTAATCTAGTTTCAGAATGCTCATGGTTTTGTCCTTATTTATTTTATTTAATTCAGAATCTCTTTTAAAAATAAGAACAACTAATGCCTGGGTGTTCTTTATTTTTTTGTAGTGACTGAGATGCAAACAAAAACCGTCTGTTTCTTTTTCTTTTCTTTTTTTCTCAGGATTTCAAGTCAGGCATAAACTTCCACCAGTTTTAATGTATTTCCTAGAAGCAAGATGTGGACAGCAGAGACAAATCACATGTTCTGACAACCCTCCCATCTCCAAGGAGAGGAAATACTTATTAAGCCTGCTTTGAAGTTTAGCCCTAGAAACATGTAGGTGGGTGATTTCAACCTTCACTGCCCCTCGACTGCAGTTCTCTAAAAGAAACACTGACAGCTTGTCAGTTCCAACACGCTCAATCCAAACAAGCAGGTAGACGGTAGAGCCGCTTGTTAGGTGCTTCGCTACTAAAAGGTTTGCAATGTTTGCTAAGCACACAAAGTGTAAGAACAGGTCTGTGACAGCACTGAGCCTTGTGGAAGCTGAAGCAAAGGTGTGGAGTGCTTAAGCATCATCAGGTCCACCTCTGTGTGATTTCCCCTCCTGCGTTTTTCTTGTAAAAAAGAGATGCATCCAGTGACACCACCTTCAAGTAGCCAAGATTCCTTTTGGAAATCTGGCCCTTTGCTATGTCATTTGCTCAGGAACAACAACACTGGCGTTCCTGAACCAGCTAAGGCTGCTTTAATTTATTTTTTAATGCTATTAATTGACGTTGCAGGTTTGAGGATTAGCAGTCATATTGTCTGGAATCAGGATCGGCAGCACAGGTAGCAAACAAAAGTCCCAAAATCCAAGCAGAGAGCAAAAAAACTCCAAAAGGTCACTGCTGGCAAACAATGAAACTGATTCTATTAAAGTGATAAATGAGGCATGTAAAAAATGAAAAAAGCCACATCGAAGAATGGCTGTGGCTGACGATAGGGAAAAAGCATCAGAGTTGCAAAGGAGCAGCCTGTGAAAAGAGGCCTCTGCCTTAATTTTCTGTACCAGCCATTCCATTCTGATTGGAATGCATTCTGATTTTTAAAACAAACAAACAAACATTTTGTGGCTCAATAAACAAAAATACTTATGAGGGACTTATGGCTTTGTTGTCAATGTCTACTATTGCTACTAATATTTAAATTGCTACGTTCATATTCATTTGGTTTTCTGCACAAAGTTTTTGGTATCTTTTCTCGATCCTAAAGATAGAACCTTATTTTTTTCACCATTGAATTTCATTTTGTTAGATAGCTTCTAATGTTCACGTTTGTTAAGATACAGAAGGACTATCTTCTGTACACTATCTAAGAAAATGAAATTCAGTGGTGAAAAAAAATAAGGTTCTACATTTAGGTAAGAAAAACAAAATATACAAGTACAGTATATGGTACCTTGCTCAATAGTAGTAACTGTGAGAAGGATCTTGGAATCCTAGTGGACAACCATTTAAATATGAGCCAGCAGTGTACATGAAAAGATTAGAGAATGGATACCCGGTACTCATTCTTTTAAACTGAAAATGTTAATTTTGTT